AGTATGCGTTCATTTTTATTTTTGAGATTTATATTTTTAGCACCAGGCTTAAGAGTTAAGATAACAAACACACCCAAATGATGTCCACACGCTCCTCCCCCTCCCCTTCCCGCATCACAAAGAAAGCCCTACCTCTGCTTATTATGCACCAAATTGGAAAAAAAGAAGAAACGCGCTTGTTTAACACTATGTATCCCTCATCCCCGCATACTTCGGAGAAGTGGGATAGTTGTTTTTTTAATTAACTTTTTTAAAATGTTTAATTAATTTAATCGCATCACAATATAGCATTAGGGGTGGCCGGAAAGAAGCGCAACGGAAAAAAGCGCAACGGAAAAAGCGCAAAACAAAAAGCGCAACGGAAATAAGCGCACACGGAAAAAAGCGCAAAGAGAAAAAAGCGCACACGGAAAAAAGCGCAAAGAGAAAAAAGCGCAAAGAGAAAAAAGCGCAAAGAGAAAAAAGCGCCAAAAGAAAAAAGCCCACACAGAAAAAAGCACAAACAGAAAAAAGCGCGCACGGAAAAAAGCGCAAAGAGAAAAAAGCGCACACGGAAAAAAGCGCAAAGAGAAAAAAAGCGCAAAGAGAAAAAAGCGCACACAGAAAAAAGCGCAAACAGAAAAAAGCGCAAACGGAAAAAAGCGCAAACAGAAAAATGCGCAACCAGAAAAAACAACGGGTTAGGGGTTAGGAAAGTTAGGGGGTCCATTCTCTAACAGGCAGTCTATGTCTCTTTCGTACTTTCGTGTTGGTTTATTGTCGAACCTGTCCTCACCTCGAATCACAACAGTTGGGTGACGCTTACCGTGTAATGTTAAAATAAATAGCATGTAATTGAGTTAGTTCGAAGTGAGTTTTCATACAAGCCCAACGCACTAATTAAGATTGTCGCAAAATGCAACATATATGTAACATATGTCAATGATGTCAATGAATTTTCATTAAAAAAAAGTACAGTTTACGAAACTAACGAACTTCGCCGATCCTTTTTCGGTGGGTAGGTGGGTAGGCGGGTAGGTGGGTAGGTGGGTAACTAACTTTCCTAACCCCACCATTTATTATACCCTACCTAACCTCTAAATTTCTTGCGCTATATGTCACTTCCCTCCCAATCGTTCCTATTCTACAGAATAAATGTGTCATCTTGTCGATATAGGTATTTGTGCTAAATTTCTCTTTTGCACATTTTTCGTTGTTTTTTCTGGTTGCGCATTTTTCTGTTTGCGCTTTTTTCCGTTTGCGCTTTTTTCTGTGTGCGCTTTTTTCTGTTTGCGCTTTTTTCCGTTTGCGCTTTTTTCTGTTTGCGCTTTTTTCTGTGTGCGCTTTTTTCTGTTTGCGCTTTTTTCCGTTTGCGCTTTTTTCTGTTTGCGCTTTTTTCTGTGTGCGCTTTTTTCCGTTTGCGCTTTTTTCCGTTTGCGCTTTTTTCTGTGTGCGCTTTTTTCCGTTTGCGCTTTTTTCCGTTTGCGCTTTTTTCTGTTTGCGCTTTTTTCCGTTTGCGCTTTTTTCTGTTTGCGCTTTTTTCTGTGTGCGCTTTTTTCTTTTTGCGCTTTTTTCTCTTTGCGCTTTTTTCCGGGTGCGCTTTTTTCTCTTTGCGCTTTTTTCTTTTTGCGCTTTTTTCTGTTTGCGCTTTTTTCTGTGTGCGCTTTTTTTTTCTCTTTGCGCTTTTTTCTCTTTGCGCTTTTTTCCGTGTGCGCTTTTTTCTCTTTGCGCTTTTTTCCGTGTGCGCTTATTTCCGTTGCGCTTTTTGTTTTGCGCTTTTTTCCGTTGCGCTTTTTTCCGTTGCGCTTTTTTCCGTTGCGCTTCTTTCTGGGAACCAGCATTAGGAAGGTTACACCAGACTAACTTTGTTTTTTTTTTTTTACTAATTTTACTTTTATTTTTTGTGCACCTTTTCATTTGTGACCTTTCTGTGTTTAATGAATATAATTATGATAAAAAGCCTTTTTTCTTAAAATTAGGTACTCCAAACTGCCGAAAATCGAGGTTTCTGCTCATTTTCTTTACTTTTTCCCTACTTTCCATCACAAAGTTCTCCCATAAAAATTAAGCGTATACTAATAAAAATGGTATGGTTAGAAAGCTTAACTTAAGCTCTACAATGGTGTGTTGTTTGTTTTTATATTGGTAAAGGAAGAATACATGTTTTTGTAGCTTGAAAAACATCACCGCAACGATTTTTATCGGCAAAATGACAGACCCGTTTTTACCCCTATCGCATTCTGACGCTTTGCGCTTCGGCGCCACGTGACGTATGAATTCTAAACATAGCTTATCGTACGCAGGATTGAATGACCTTTAGTCTCGTATAAAATGTTAACAAATTATTTTAGTAAAAACGGTTTAATTCTCAAATTTTCTACGAAAAATTGAATTTTCACCAAAATCCACTAAGAATACAAATTTTCTACTAGCATGGTTAGAAAGATCGTCCATTTTTCTATTTAAATGCGAAACTATCTTTACAATATCAAAGATGGCGCGAATGGCAAAGCGCGATAACGAAACTATGTGTAACTCCCGTTCGCCGACGCGATCACGAAATTTTTTACAAAGAAAATAAAAGCCCGCCCCGGATCAGACCCCTGAAGTGTTTGAATAGAAATCTATTTTTTCTTACGCATTATATCACAATAAAAACAGTTCAATATTAAAAAGAATACAATAAAATATGAAAATATTCAAGTATTTATAATTTAAAACTAAACTTCATCTGTAAAATTTGAATATATTTAGTAAAAGGTCACGCTGACCTAGTTTTTCGACCGGCAACGTTTCGAGAGAAAACTACAGAAAATTGCGATAAAAACGCTAATAAGAACTGATTATCCGATTTAAAATGTCCAAACTATCTGCTAAATATATAATTCAATTAGTCTTTACAGTTATGGGTATACTTTATCACACTGTGTTTCTTTTTTCTTCATTTACCGGTTGTAATTTGCTAAAAATAAGTCTAAAATAGGTTGTCTATTTTTAATCTCGGCCCGATTTTAATTCTGAAATCGTGCATTTTTATTAACGTTTTTCAGCGATCTAACACTAAATTATTTCACTGAGAATGTTTCTTTTTAAATGTAGATTAACTGTAGTTACAAATAAATAACTTTTTCTATATATCTGTTAAGTTTTAGTAATTCTTTGTCAATTAAAAAAAACGGACTTAAAGCCGTGTTGAGGTATAAAATGTTCACCCCCACCTTATTTTCTCAAATCTGGACATTTAACTGCATCATTTATAGCACTCAATTTAATTTACATAATTAGGTAACATTTTCCCCTTTAAATCGATATAAAGGTGATTATTGTGCATGCAATAGAAGAATTTTAGTGGTTTTGTGAAAGTTGGTGATTTTTTAGTTTTTTTTCGCCCTGTCAAATTTTTGGTAAATATGGTGTAGTACGATTTTTAAGACAAAAAACGTTTATCTTTAACTTGTTATACTAGTTTGAAAAAAATTGAGACTACAATCTATCTACTCTTTTATTGGAATTAAGTTAGATAATGGATATAGCTGCTATAGTTTTTGAGATAATCGGTGCTAAAGTCGGGTCCTCATGAGGCCGTAAAAGGTCTTTAACCATGTCTTCCAGTTGTGTACATCTCGCTTCTAATAATAGTTGCGATATTTGCTGTCGCGGGGAATTGTTTGGTTATTGTCATGCACGAAAAGGACAAGAAAAAACTCAAATCCGTCTCCGTGGACACCTTGGATGATGGTAGAAATGCAGTTACGACTGATAAATGGTGGAAAGTCCTAAAATCAAGAAATAGAGCCTCAGGACTCAATTTATTGTTCCTGATATTTAATGTCATATTCTTTGTCGTCATCACAACTGTTATTTTACGCCTTATGGTTTTTTAAATTCATTATTTTTCTAATGAAATATACATTTCAGTCCTTATCACATCTGTTGTCTTAATTTAATTATTTTAGTGAAATATACATGACATCACATCTGTCGTCTCATGCTTTGTGGTTTCTTAATTTAATTTATCATTATAATTAAATTAACATTCTTTCTTTATTAGTTTTAGAGTACAATAGTATTCAGTTGAATTTTATATTTTATTTAAACGTGTTTTTGGTTTTCTTTCCGTAAAATTTCCTTCATCAAATTAAATTAACAATCAGCGTTATTTTTTTAAGTAGCAGTTTTCTCCAAAAATAAAGCCACACGATTTATTCCAACCATAGTGTGTCCATTTTTTCTTTAAAATTTTAACTAGCAATTATCTTTCCTTCTCTATAGGAAGGCCTTTTTAGAGGAGGGCTGGTAGGGTGTCGACCCTAGGGAGGGAACCTAAAGAGGTAGAGAAAAAAAAAAGCTCATAATGATGTATGAGTCAAGTTGTATAAATTGGCTAATAATTTTTACTCAAAGTTAAGAAATTCGACTGTGACTAAAATCAATTGTGTGACACCAAATTATTGATCTTTTCAACTGGGTGGAGGGAGGGGTTCCCCCAACGCAATATGTGGGTGGGACATGATAGTTAAAAATTTGCCCTGGTTTGGGTCGCTACGTCTGTCCTTTCCTCCCCCAGTTGTTTACTTTTTTTTAAAGCACCAATGGAAAGAATCGTTGGCAGCAATTCCCCGTCCAACCTGTGCTAATTTCCCACACCACAGAATAACTGATAAATCTCGCATTTGTAAAGAGAAATAACTCCGTGTGGCCACTTATTCCAGTGATATCAGATAAAATAATAGTCAATACTGTCATTCATACCCTACCCGCCAAGGCAATGATTCACGGCGATCTACTGTGCGAGAACCTTTGATTCTTCTAGCTAAGCCATAGTTTTGTACTATGTGGATCTAAAACAAAACTGTTTTAGCGAAAATAATTTGTTGAAGCATTTTTGAATAGCAGCAATTTTCCCTTATTTGGAAGTTTATAAAATTAAAATACTATAGCTCTGATACTTTTTTTTTAAAGTTTAAGGCTAGAGGGGCATTAAACAAGATTTAATTTAATACAAAAAAATGACAATGCCATTCAATGCCCAAAACGTTTAATAAATAATTTTCATAAGTGATTTCAGTAGATAACATTTTTTTAAAAGAATCCCTTCAACAAATGGTCATAATAATCTTACATCCTTTGATTCATAAAAATATATATACACAATTTTACAGTTTCAATAAATTACAATCTAAAACCAGTTCAGTACCAGCTTAACTGGTAAAAACATAGGGTTTTTGTGGTCTGTTCTGCTAGTGGTGTAAGAATTTCATGCTGGCATCGGTTACAGTGGCTTACAAGGTCCACGACTTTCAATCATTACCATCAACTTTTTGTTTAACCCCTTAACCCCCGAGCTGGCCCACTTTCAAAAAGGCAAAATAGAGGCTCATCAGATTATCTAGACTTCATTTATAAAAAAATATATTTTTGGGGCATTATTTTGTTTTTAAAATTGAAAACCAAACAGTTCTGACCAAAAATCCAGGGCAGGAACTGAAGAGCAGTCTGATAATTTCTGAGACCCAATGTTTTACTTTGCCTTCAGGGGATGAAAGTGGGAAGCCGCCTTTAGTCAGAAACCTATTCAATAAACCCAACAACCCTTTGATGGTAACGAAAAGCATCATTTCAAGCTTGCAATACAGCCAATTATAGATCTTGGTGCAAGCCACAGATTGTACAGGTGATGCCAGCAGCATTGACAATTTAGAGGCAATCTGCCTCACTACTTGTGTATCAGCAACCCATTGCTTCCTCTTCCACTCTGGAGACTGGATATCAGAGATTACATAGGAAGGTGTTGAAACCAGACCACTGCCCTTCAACCATGCCAAGTTTCTGCCCTTGGCTAGGCCAGTTTCAATCCTCTAAAAAGAAGAAATTGCCACTCTTTTTCTGCTCAACATCCTGTGTGGATAAAAAGAAGATTGAAGAAAGGAAGAAAATAGAATATATATTTCAGTTAGAAAAAAAAACGTGCCTCATATTCGGGAAAATTTCTCAGCATAAATGGTTAAGAAAATTGTTTTAATCATAGGCATCCTTAAATACCCTCACAATCTTTGCCACAGGCAACAAATAGATACTGCCCACCCAACAATTTGATTGAAAAATTAGTGTAACTTTTATTTCAATTTAGCTGTACAAAAGAAAGAGAAGATTTTTGTAATAAAAAAAATTGCAGGATTTGGTGGGAGAGTAGACGAGGTTAATTAAAAACTATCTTTGTGGGAATAAAAACTAAAACAATCAAATTACCTTGACAGAGTTAAGCTTGTTAATGCGTGGTCTGAAATTGTTGGGGTCACGTCTGAATGTGATGTCCAAGGATTCCAAGAAACTGTTCATTCCATTTAAAAGAGACTGCGGCCTGAGAAAACATATTTGTGGATATATTACTTTGAATCAGAACAATAGCAGAATAATAGCAATAAGCATAATTCAAATTACAATTTAAAATATGAAATGGTGGGAGTGGTTGGAGGGTGTTAAGACCCATGAGAACAAGTACAACAGAATAATGCAGCTGTAATTTTAACTTAATGTTACAATTTGGGACCAGGAACAAGTCATAGAAAAATACAAATGATGCTTTTATCACAATTTTTACAGCCTGCAAAGTGCGATACGGATTAAGCATTTCTGTAATAATAAAACCTGTAAAATTACAAGCATAGTCAAACAAGTAGCAGCCCAATGATTGTTACAGAATATATTTCCAATGTCCATATCTGATTAACCATTAATGTCCTGTAACGCCCGCTGCCGCCCGACACTGTTAATGTCCCGTAACGCCCGCTTACAATACGCATAGAAAAATTAAATTTGTTTCATTAAAATTTGGCCTACAAATCCTAATTTTTAACTAAACAGGAAGTCGGATAGTTGCAGCAGCCTTTTCCGGTCTTCTAATTTCAATGGCGCTTTTGAAAGATAAAAAATAATAGTTTCTTTCTATCTCGAAATTTTAGATTCATCTGTCCTATTTTTAGTAGATTTAATATTAAAAATAAAAGAAAATAATGCCTCTAAACGTATCTAGGCATGTATTTTATGGATTATATATCTTAAACGTAACCAAATTGATATTTAACTGTTAAATTCGATGCATAGTTGTTTAGACAAAAATAAATAAAGTTGACTACCAAAAATGACCTGTTTTGAATTTTCTCCGACATTTTTTATTTTTATACTGTACTTTTACCGAATATAATATATTCTATTTAATACTGTTGGAAAGCCAGGTTTATTCCCAACATTAAGCAGTAGTTTTTATCTTAATTTTCAATTTCATTTAGACAAAAACAAATATTTTGTGAAACTATTCACTTGATCATACAGAGTTATGCTCCTTACATTGGGCCGTCATGGGTGGAGTTTTGGTAGAATGAATGGGACATTAATAGTTAAGCATACTGTGTTATCAAACAGCTCATTATAACTATCCTAGGAGAAGACAGTTTTCTAGTCCCATGTTTCTAGCAAAATATTTACAATTCTGCTAACAAAATGGCAAGATGCTTAATTAAGATTAGTATTGCCTTTGATTCAGACAAAATTGGCTTTCAAAACTGTTATCAGCACATTTCGATATGCCGGGGAAAAAAATAAGTCATCATCATCAAAGACAAGTGTATGTACTATAATTTGATTGACAAGAAAAACACAGGTCATTACGCTAGCCACATTGCTAAATTTATAAAACTACTTACGAATTGGCTTTAGTTTTGATTGATGGTTGCCCCTCAAACATAACTACACGATCAGCCAGATATGTTGCCATGATAAAATCGTGCTCAACAACAAAAGCTGTCTTCTTTGCATGAAGAATGAACCTAGACATTGAAGATAATGTAATTAGAGATGATTAAAGTAGATTAAAAAAACATTTTTTATTAGAATTTACACTAGACTTGCTTTTATTTAAACTGAAGCCTCATATTCGGGAAAATATTTCATATAAAAATATGTCAAAGCATTTTAATCACTGGCTTCTTGAGTATGAATGTTTCTGGTTTTCTCCACTTGGCCCAGAAAGGGCAGTAATTTACATTTTCACTAGTAATAGTTTACACCCTCACAGGAGAAGAAGACTAAATTAAGTGTGGGTGAGGAAGTTAAGCATAGCCCTGTAAAACTAGTTACCTCTTGATCACTTTAGCTGCGTGCAGACGCTGCTCTGAATCCAAGTATGCAGAAGGTTCATCAATAAGATAAATATCAGCAGGCTTTCCAAGACACAAGGTCAAGGCCACACGCTGCAACTCACCACCAGAAAGATTTTGAACCTGTTAATGTTAAATGATATACTTAAAAAAAAAAAAAACAGCTCAAAATACAAGAGAACAGTATTGTCACATCCTCAGCATTTGATAAGGTGTCTGTTTTTCACCAAAGAAGAAATTCTGAGTGGTGCATGACAGAATATCATCATGGGATAGTTAGCAAATCAAGAAATCAAAAAATAATTAATGGTTTAAAATATAAAAGCTTATAGTGGAGTTAGATGTCCTCAGTTAAGTTAAGTGGTGTCTGTTTCTCACCAGTCTTGCAGTCTGAGTGGTGCATGACAAAATTTCATCACAGGACATAATAACCATAAAATATAACATGTTATACCTGTTAAGATGATTAAAACTTTTAACTGTTAGGAAGCAGTGTATTTCTCCCCCATTCAAAGGAACATTCTTAAATTTAGCTTAGTGTAGTGTGGGCCATAATTTTTTTTAAAACAAGTAAAAGATACACAACATAAATGAGGTCTTTATTGCATAAAGTTTAAACAAAAAAATTAATTTTCAACCGCAGCGCTGGCTAAAACTTTTAATCACAAGAGGCATTGCAAAGCAGTGCACTTGTATTTTTCCAAATTTAAAAATACTTAGATCTACGCTTCACTACATGACATTGGAGGCAAAAAAGTTTGTCACATATTCCTTGTATTTAATGTCCTAAAGGCTAACAGAAATAAAAGTCCAAACTGCCCTCAGCTGATTTAGTGGTGTCAGTTTCTCACCAGTTCAAAATCTGAGTGGTGCATGACAAAATCTCATCTTTGGACAGTTTATGCCACCCCCCCCCCCCCAAACCATACACATGTACTGAATCATCTTACCTCCTGGTCAAATATAGGCTCAATTTGCAATGGTTTAAGAACATCAGTAACAAACTGTGGGTGCACATATGCATCTCGGATTCGCTCATGCAGAAGTTGTCTAACCGTGCCCTGGTGTTTTGGGCTAATCTTTTGAGGTTTGTAGCTAACGTTGAGTACAGGAATCTCACCTGAAAAAAAAAATATCTTATTCTGAAGAAAAAAATAGCTACTAATTTGACTATTGTAAATAATAAGTATAGACCTCAGAATTATTATCAATGGTGTCAAGTATCAGCAATAGGCATTAAGCGTGGTGCATGACATAATTTCATCAAAGGTCATTAAAAAAAAAGCTCAGAACTACCAAAACCCCAAGATTCACCCCTATTAATATATAATGAACTTCAAGTTAAAAAGTATTTCTAAAAACAAGCCTTACCCCCACCATCTGGTGCAAGTCTTCCAGCCAACATTTTGATAAAGGTTGTTTTACCAGTACCATTTTCTCCCAACATGACTATGATCTCAGAGTCCGTGAACTGACCAGCATCAATGGAGAGCTCAAACTCACCTGAAAATAAGGTTCAAAATTAGGTATAAATTTCTGTTAAAATAAAACCTAATAATCATTCAGGTGTAGATAGCATTAAAAGTACCTAATTTTTTGAACATGTCAGGGTACTCATATCTGCACATGCGCTTGATCTCCTCCTCCAATGCAGTCTCAGCAACTTTGAAGGTTAGTGAAACTTCCCTGAACCTCAAATTTTCAGTAGGTACAAAACCATCCAGGAAAATATTTATACCTGACAAAAATAAAATGCTATAGATTATCTGTTTTAATGGTAGATATTCATGCTTGAAATGTTTGTAAAATATCACAGTAATTTTCATGAAACAAAATCTACCTTCTCTAACACTGAAAGGCATGGTAACAACACCATAAGCACCGGGCACACCATACAAGCAGCAAATAAAATCAGACAGATAATCCAGAACTGACAAATCGTGTTCAACAACAATGATGTACTTGTCTGGGTGAATCAAACTACGGATGGCCTGGGCAGCTTTGAGACGCTGTTTCACATCAAGGTAACTGGAGGGCTCATCAAACATAAAGCTGCAACATGGTTTAAAATAATACTAAAAAATTGTATGAAAGCATTAAAAAATTACTCTTAAAAATTAATTTAACAAGGTAAATATATTACATGTCAGCATTTTGAATGCAAACAATTGCAATGGCAAATCTTTGTAGCTCTCCTCCAGATAGATCTTCCACATTTCTGTCCCTCACATTCAGTAAATCTAAAAAAGAAATGGATGTCCAGAAAACTATTTTATCTAGATCATTTAACATGTATTTTCAAAAATCAAACATCTATACAACTATTTGGTCTCATTCAGACATGTTCATCCACAAGATTTGTTAAGAATGTGAACAGCAATGTTATTTAATCACTGACCAATATATTGCTCAAAATCTGTTCAGATCATTTTTTTTCAGAGTAAACTTAACATTTATGATAACCCCATTGTTTCTAAGGATATGTACCTAGCTGTTCACAGACATGCATTTGGTTCTTCAACTCATCTTTTTTGTCCAATAACTGTTGAACAGAGCCCTGAAATTCAAAAAATAAGTGAGCATCAACATTCATTTCATACAAAAAGTTATGTGCCCTATCCTAACTTATTCCTTTTCATTAGCATTTTCTTACCTTAACGGCTTTAGGAATCTGATCCACATATTGTGGCTTGATTAAAGCTTTCAAATCATCCTCAAGAATTTTTGTGAAGAAATTCTGAAGTTCAGAGCCTCTGAAATATTCTAAGATCTCTGTCCATTCTGGAGGATCCTGTATAACAAAATTTTATAAGATCATTTGATAATTAACTAATTAACTGTTAGGATTTAAACAGCACAGACATTTTAGCACTGGTCTCATAAAAGTGAGTTTCCACATAAATATTAAGAATGTGAACAGCAAAGTGTTTTTAATCATTGACCATCCATGTAATTACCTTACAAAATACATATTGTAAATACTTCCCATGAAAAACAACAAACTTACATTAAATCTCCCCAGATTTGGCTTCTGCTTTCCTGCCAAAATTTTAAGAGCAGTTGATTTTCCAATACCATTAGTACCAACAAGCCCCAATACTTCACCAGGACGAGGGGTAGGTAGCCTGTGCAGTTTGAATGAGTTAGCACTGTAACGATGAGTTGTATCACGTTCCAAATTACTTGGCAGATTTATGATTGTTATGGCTTCAAAAGGGCATTTCTAAGGGGAAAAACCTATAATTAATCAACTACAAAAAAATTCGAATTTTACTAAATAATTTTATATGCAGATAAACTTACTTTAGAGCAGATACCACAGCCAATGCACAGTTCTTCAGAAATAAATGCTATTTTGTCAGTTGGAGCTACTTCAATGCACAACTTTCCTGTAACAAATTATTCTAAAATAAAAATATATTCTTTCATCACCTATAAGTAAAAAGACGATATTAAACAAAGGCCTAATTATAATTGATTGGCAGTAAACATACCCATTCGGACTACAGGACAAAACTTTTTGCACTCCTGTCGACATCGTTTAGGCTTGCATTTGTCAGTGCTGACAATAGCAATCCTTGTAAGCTGATCATTTGCTGCATCTGACTTGCTCTTCCTTTTAGAAGCAGACATTATAGCTGTCTTATCTGTAAAAAAAAAAGTTGTTGGGCCATTTATGCTATTGGTAATTTAGTAATGTATAGGCCTACAATGAATATTTTTCAAACTGCTGTATCAGTTTGTATAAAAAAAGCCATCAAACCATTACTAGCTATTACAGGGGTGCCACTCATTTTTTAAGTGTATCCTGAAAATCAATCCCAAAATTTTACCAACCCTGAAACTAAAATTTGAAATTTTTAAAACCCTGAAACTTAATGTTGCGCGGAATTTCAAAATAAAATGGACTAGGGCCTATTATCTCATTAATTTTTGAGACATTTGATTCATATCATGTTCAATATACATTCCTTCAACATGGATTTATTTTGACTGCAGCTATTCGTAGTGAACTACAAATAGCCCTATGAAGGCTATTCGTACTCTGACCAATCAGCGCACGGCATTTTTTTTATTCTTGAATTCCTTTTTTCATCCTTTACAAGCTGTATAGATATAGAACTAATTGTTTTTTAGATCTCCCTATACCTAACCCTATCCCTATGCCTAACCCTAAACCCTAATTCTTAAAAAAAATTAAAAAAAAAAAAAAAAAAAAACCTGAGCCAGCTGGAATCGAACTACCGGAACGATTACGAAACTTTACAAAATTTGAATCCCATACACAACTGCAGGACAATGAATTTAAAAATAAATTTGATTGGTCGGCTAAAAATAGCGAAGTACGAATAGCCCTCTGAAGGCTATTTGTAGTGAAGTACCAATAGACACTCTATTTTCTTTGTAACAAGCTTCAAATGAAAATTAATATTTAAAGCATTGTGCATACAAAAAAATTAGTTAACAATGTTAGTCCCATCTCTAGAACTCCCCCCCCCCCCATGCATGTAAACCAAAATACAAAACAACTGTTTATGTTACTAATACTTTGTTTAATAGTGACAGTAGTCACACTTTTGTTTTCTGTTGGTGATACAGAAATGTGTAGAAATATCTAAGAACTATTTTAGTAGGCCAGAACTTCAACAAGTGGTAGGCCTACAATACAAATGTGACGTCCCACCATCTGAACCCCCCCCCTCATCACATTCACTTCTCCGGGATGTCCCGGATTTCCGGATTCGTGAATCATATTTTTTCCCCTTTCCTGATTCGCAAGATTTGAGATTGAAAATTTCCGGGTTCGCAGTTTAAAAAAAAATTAATATCGTTTTAAGCTTGAAAATTTTGGCATTGTTAAAGTCGTCGTTATCGTCAAGGCTCCCGCTAATGGCCCTTTCCACCTTTCGCGCATGCGTCGACGGTACAAAATTTATTGTAAACCTAGCAATGTAGGCTTATTTTATCAATTTTATCTTAATGTAATTCAGGCACTATTTTACAGAGGTCGTCACATCTGAACCCCCAACCAGCTAATCAACTCAGTGAGGGCGGAATATGAGACAAATGTCAGATAAATTTGCATCCTTCTATTTTACCGCCTTGTTATTTCCGCATATCGAATTTCTCTGCACCCAATTTTGCTCTCCATGAACAGGACCTTCAGAATTAATTGTAAAGGAGTAGGCTAATAAAAAAAATAGGAAATTGCTTATTTTAAACCATGTCGTTTTAAGATATAATCAAGTCATAAATGTTTAGATCTTAACTTAAAGTTCTAGAGCTAGATCTAGATGATCTAGAGCCTACTGAGAAAAGTTAAAAAGACTAAACTTCACTAAACTTGACTAAACTGACCGATTAGCCACGCCGGCAGCCACGACTACTCTTAAAATTTAAAATAATTATTTTCAACAAGTTTTAAACTAGCCTAAACCCTTTCAGATAATCTAATTTTATGTAGAAAATCTAAAATCGTGAATTTCTGTTAGTTTTATTATTGAATTATATTTAACTAGGCCTATAATTTATAAATAGGTAAAAATATGTACCCGCTAGCAGATGCGGCGGCGTGCAGCCAGCGTGCAATATGGCGAGCAAAAGGAAGGTTTACCAGATAAAATATCGGAATACTTGACCGTAGTATAGCGAAGCGAATAAATGCCTACCAACAAGAAGCCAAAACATAAGTTTTCGGATTTAATAGTCTGTAAATCTAGGCTAAAATAGAAATAAATTTAAATGTAAAGCAAAAGTTGGATAGATCTAGATTTAGTAAGCATTACACTTATACAACTTTAATAACAAAATAAGTTATTTATTATAAAAACAATTTTTAGAACATATCGTTGTGTGAAAAACTAGTTTTTTTTTTTTTTTTTTTATCAGTATGGATTCTAGACTTGATCTAGATCTAAATCTTTTTAACAAAAAAGTCATGTAAATAAAATAGTTTAAACGCAATGCCTTGTGAAAAACTTGTTGAAAAAAAAATGTTATGGATTGTGTGTTACTCGGAAAGTGTTTTTTATTTGTATTTTGTTTATCATTTTTTGTTTTATTTTCAATGGCACAGCTTCGTTTTGATATGTTTTAATGATTCCAATTTAAATTATGAGTGTTGTGTCTTTTTCTGTTTCTGGTCACACAAACTGATGTATGAAAAGTATGTTCTGTTTCAATGTGTGGTATCCTAAAAGTATTTTCTGTTTCAATGTGTGGTATCCTAAAACATTGTCTATTTGGCAACCCTGGTTTCAATGTGTAAGAGGCTAGGATGCTAGACTAGCCAAAATGTGATAATGGATACTGCATCCGGCCTATGCAGATTACAAAAGTAGTAGACTATATCCAGTGTTTCTCAGTGATTGATTTGGGAGGGGGAACCTTTAAACTTTTTAGGAGGAGGAAAATGGCGGATTAACTAAGACTAGCAGTGCAATGACACCACAAAAAGAATAAACCGGGAGTGATCTCCCCTCAACATTCTCGAATATTCTTATATAAAACAACAGGGGATGGGAACTCGGAATATAGACATGATTTTTAATCCATTTAATTTACTTAAACTTTTAAAATAAAATCTCGTAGAAAAAATATTTTCACACCAAGTGAAGGCCAAACAAAATGTGCATAATAGTGCGTAACATTAATAGTACTTTATAAATTCACATGCGTTTTTTTTTTTTTTTTTTTTTTTTTTTTGAGAAATCGGAAATAGCGTAAATTAATACTTCCGGTTAACGAAAATTACTCAAAATTTGACAGAAGGTAGAGAATTAGATCTTTTACTTGCACGTGAAATTTCATTTATCTATCTGAAATAGTACTCAAGTTATAAGCTTTTGAAAAATTCAAAGTAGAAAAAGTTCCACTTCCGTTTATAGGAAATCGCTTAAAAGGTGATACGGGTCTACGATTTGGATATAATACTTATATGTGAAATTACATCAACCTAGCTGAAACGGTACTCAAGTTATCATGTTTACAGACAAACACACACACACACACAAACATACATAATGGACAAGTGATGTCGAGTTCGACTATTTCTTTGACCTCTGCATATGAGGAACTAATGTATTCAACCATTCGACCAGTCGCCTTTACTTTCCCTAATGTAAGTCATGTTCTCATCAGAGATCTTTTACTTACACGTGAAATTTCATTTATTTATCTGAAATAGTACTCAAGTTATAAGCTTTTGAAAAATTCAAAGTAGAAAAAGTTCCACTTCCGTTTATCGGAAATCGCTTAAACGGTGATACGGGTCTACGATTTTGATATAATACTTATATGTGAAATTACATCAACCTAGCTGAAACGGTACTCAAGTTATCATGTTTACAGACAAACACACAAACACAAACATACATAATGGACAAGTGATGTCGAGTTCGACTATTTCTGTGACCTCTGCATATGAGGAGCTAATGTATTCAACCATACGACCCGTCGCCTTTATTTTCCCTAATGTAAGTCAGGTTCTCATCAGAGTTGGGTATATTCAGGGAACATTTTACAGACAATATTCCGGTATTCGAACTCAAGACTTTCGGGTTAGCAGTCTTTTGTTCTACAAGCTGACTACACTGCTCCACAAGGCATCAAATTGCCAAAAGTTTAATCCATCGCATTGGGTGTCTCCCGACCTAGTGACGCCACTGTCATTTATGTAATATAGTTAAACTGAAAATGGATCTCTTTCATTTAAAAGGGATATGCTCAGTTTATATCTAATTTTTACAATTTAAGATCTAAAGCCTTTTGAATACTTTGACCATGTTTTGGCACATGAAAGTAATTATTAAACAGGAAAATAACGGTTGGAAACAATTTTGGTGTCAGGGAAACCCGAAAAAACATCCGCCATTTTGAATTTTTCGTACTTTCAAAAACGCTAAGGCTTTTTTTTACTTTCTCGTATATACGAAGTAGGCCTATAGAGAAAGTCTTGTAATCGTGCAAAAAAAAAAAAAATCGAGATTTTTACAAATCTTGACGTTTTACACCTCACCGATACGGAAAAACATAATTTTGCAATCTTGTCCGTATGTCTGTGTGTCTGTGTGTCTGTGTGTGTGTGTGTAAACACGATAACTTGAGTACCGTTATAGCTAGGTTGATGAAATTTCATATATAAGTATTTTATCAAAATCATAGATACTGCTCAACTTTTGAGCGATTTCCGATAACCGGAAGTGGTACTTTTTCTACTTTGAATTTTTCAAAAGCCTATAACTTGAGCATTATTTCAGATAGATAAATGAAATTTCACATATAAGTAAAAGATCTAATTCTCTACCTTCGTTCAAATTTAGAGTAATTTCCGTTGACCGGAAGTACTAATTTACGCTATTTCCGATTTCTCAAAAAACGCATGTAAATTTATAAAGTATAAAATTCTATTCTATTTTTTAAAACTTTAAGTAATTAAAAATCATGTCTATACTCCAAGTTGTATAAGAATATTCGAGAAAGTTTAGGAGAGATCACTCCCGGTTTATTTATTTTATTTATGCACTTATAGCAATTAAATTTAAACTGCTTATATTTCAGTATATATTAAAACTTTGTCAAGACAACTATCTTATAAAAAGTTACTGGTCAGAATTTTACAACGTCTGAAAAATCTGACCCTTTTTAGTTTTTAAAAGTTAAAAAATGTGCATAAACTTTTTTTTTTGCTATGAAAGCCATCACAATTCCCCCGTGACAAAAGTTTTATTTTTGCATAAAGAACAGTTACTGAAAATTTGGTGGGCATTGTTTAATAAATAAAAAAATTAGTAGTGATGATGAAAATGATGCTTTTTACTTTCTCGTATATACGAAGTACAGATAAAGTCTTGTAATCGTGCAAAAAAAAATCGAGATTTTTGCAAATTTCGACGTTTTACACCTCGCTGATACGGAAAAACATAATTTTGCAATCTTGTCTGTATGTCTGTGTGCATGTGTGTGTGTCTGTGTATGTGTCTGTGTGTCTGTAAACACGATAACTTGAGTACCGTTACAGCTATGTTGATGAAATTTCATATATAAGTATTTTATCAAAATCGTAGACCCGTATCAACTCGTGAGCGATTTCCGATAACTGGAAATGGTACTTTTTTACTTTCAAAAGCCTATAACTTTAGTACTATTTCAGATAGATAAATGAAATCTCACATGTAAGTAAAAGATCTAATTCTCTTCCTTCTGTCAAATTTTTAAGAGTAATTTCCGTTGACCGGAAGTATTAATTTACGCTATTTCCGATTTCTCAAAAAAAAAAGTAAAATTATAAAATACTAATAATATTCCGCACTAATATGCACATTTTATTTGGCGTTCACTGGTGTGCAATTCTTTTTTCTACGATATTTTATTTTGAACAGTTTAAGTATTTAAAATGGGTTAAAAATCATGTCTATATCCCGAGTTCCCATCCCCTGTTTTTTTTTTTGTATAAGAATATTCGAGAAAGTTTAGGGGAGATCACTTCCGGTTTATTACTTTTGTTATTAAAAATCGAGAAAGTAGCATCGATCGCAAAAGAGGACTTTAAGCATGACGAACAACTAAATAGCGGCATATGATACGCCGCGGGTCGTTTAACGCAGTGGCGTAGCGAGGTCGGGTGTCACCCGGTGCGGCACTTAATGGTGTCAATCCCCCAGAGGCGTAGCGACCCTTCCCGGGGACAAACTTTCAAATTTTCGATTTGCACCCCACTCAAACTTTCGATTTGCGCCCCCCCCCCCCTCCCAAGTTTTTCTCTATATATTTTGCTATTTTTTGCCTTGGTGTCACCCCCCTAAATGGTGTCACCCGGTGCGGTCCGCACACCCCCCCCCCCCCCGCCCCCCTCGCTACGCCTCTGGTTTAACGTGTTATATTTCATCTTAGCGCACTTGCAAGAAACTAAAATTCAATTCTAATTGACGTGTTTAAATGACAAAGTGATGAAAAACTATCGTTAATTGTGTTTTTACAAGATGTGTAGTTTTATGTTATATCCGGAGGACCGTGGGGCTTTGATCGTAGTACCTAACCATAGAAAAGGGGCGGGGGAGTGAGGTAATACACTACATTTTGAATGATATATTGAATGTGAGTTTGATTTCGTTTCAGGAGTGATAACTTAAATATTGTACACATTTTTTAGCGCAATTTCCATTCTGGAGAATTGCGTTTATTGACTCGTCATTTCTGGGAATGGATGGATGAATGAATGAATGAATGTATGGATGAATGTGTGTCCGGGCTTTAAGTCGTATCTCCTCCTCAACGAAGCAATATCGATGACTAGTTCCAAAAGCAATTGTGTTAAGCAAGTTACGAGAATGAGCATAGGCCATAAAAATTCCGGGTTTCTTTCATGTATTTCCCGGAAAAGCCAAAAAACCTTGAAAAAATGCAGTTTTTGGCCCATATCTCGGCAACCAGACCACTTAGCGACTTGAAACATGTACCAATCGATTCCCGCCATAATTTAGAACAATATTGCCGAAGAAAGTTTTCAAAAATATCCTTTCGTTCGGTCACAAATTTTAAAATTACATAAACACCTACAAACCGATCGTTCTTCTAGCTTGAACGCACCCCAACATTATACGTCAGAGCTATTTTTAGATAACATAAGGAAATTGCGCACAAATGTCACTAGACTTTTTTAATTAACTTGTTTTTAAACAAAGCGAAAGACTTCACACAAATTGGGTATTTACTTATTTTATTTCACATATAGGCTATACTGCAAATATGTCAAATGTGAAATCTGCAATATGTTTTTTAAAGTATTAATTTAATCAAAGATACAATGAAAAAAATTGATTACACAGAAAAAGGCAAAATAATAATTATATAAATTCGCGCCCATCAGTCAAACGAGGCGTAGATTTCCGCACATGCGATAGAGTTGGTGTTGTGGGTAAGGTTGGCGATGGCGTGGTAGTCTCCGGAGGGGAAAATGGCGACTTCGACGTCAAATTCAGCGGTGGGGAGTGTGTATGTTCCCTAAGGAAAAAAAACAGAAGGAGAAGTATTTCTGTTAAAAAGTTTGAATTAGCAACACACATTTTTAGCAATGATCTTTAGTACGACTTAGAGGGAAAAAAAATGAAGTGTTACGTAACACTTTCTCATTCATCCCCTTTTGTGTCTCTTCCAGACATTTTTTCTCTGGGGGAGAGGGGGGGGGGCGACTTAAATTTCCGAAGGCGAGAGGGAGTTGGCGGGCGGACACTGGTTCAAGTATATGTTTACTATATAAATTTATTTATATTTTCTGTTTTGTTCGGAGGGGGGGGGGGAGTGCCCTCTAAAAGAAACGCCCTGAAAGAAAATCCCCCTCCCCCCGACTGTGTCTTTGTTTACGAACTACCCCCCCCCCCCCCCCCGAGCAATACAGTTCCTACCTGTTTCGTAGCAACTTCTCATCAAACATTGAAACAACATTTAGTCGTCCCCCCCCCGCCATATTGTTTCTACTCAGTGGGGGGGGGGGGGTGGGGAGGTCGGCACTTGGAACTTTGCGTTGGCGGAATTAAATTTCCGGTTGGGGGGGGGGATCCTGATGCATACTGGTTTAAATATAAATTTTTTCCCTATAAATTATTGTTTTTTCTATTTTCTTTACGTGGGTGGGGGGGGGGGGGGCATTAGGCTTGCTTCGGGGGAGGGTGGGCACTGCCCTACCAAATAAATGCCTGAAAGAAACTACCCCATCCCGTCGGTGTGTCTTTGGTTACCAACGACCCCCCCCCCCCCCCCGAGCAGCACAGTTCCCCTACCTGAGAGAACGGGCACTGGCAGGGGATCCCGGCGCTGACGAAGGGGTCGGGGCACTGGGTGATCAGGCCCAGGTACTGGCAGACGTCCTGGTACGTGCAGGAGCCGATCAGACCCACACAGGGAATCTTGAGCCAGGCGTCACCGACTTTCTTTGACAGGGTCACGTCTGCCTGTGGAGATTAAAAGTTGCAGGTTCGAGTCCAGGGTTTGACCATCTTTAATAAAAAATAAATATCGAAATAAAAAGATATGAAATAAAACAAAACAAAAATTATAGTAAAAAAGCTCATTAAAGTATTGGATATAAGGAAAAAACAAAGATTAATAATTTAATGAAAGCGTTGATCGATATAATATTAAAATTTTCATTTAGAAACAGGGAGAAAATTGAGTTAAAACTAAAAGCTATGTCCACAACCCTTAAGTGTTGCGTGTCTTAAGTCAAATAGACACAACGACTCTATTCCATTTTTGACACTTTACCTCAATTATAGAATAGATACTCGCCTTTTAGCTGAGGGTAAGTGTTACTGTTAGTGTTTTTTCATAAGATTTAATTCAAACGTTCTATTTCACAATTGGAAGAATTACGTTTAATTTTTGATTGTCGTAGAAAATACTAAGCAATAGGTATGAAAAGTCTATGTAATCATACTAAATTTTTAAAAAAATATGGCGATAAAATTATAGATTTCTAGTTTATTTGTAAAACATAAAGCCGATTGAGAACGTCGATCACACTCATTTTTATATTTTTTTTGTAACGAATATAAACTATTGAAAAGCAGTTTAGAATTATTTTATCAATTCAACTATTTGCAAAAACTGCCCTCAACCTCCTATTGAAGTCAACGGAAAGGGTCAGGGAGAGTAAAACAATAAAAGTCAGAACAATTGTTTTCCCATGATAAAAATACACAATAGTGATCTATGATGTATAGCGAAGTATTGTATTTATATTATATAATGTAACATCCCCAATCACCACAACACACTGACTCTACTAATCCAAATTAAATATTAAAGTGTTTGCTAAATTCCAATTATAATGCTGGTAGTTATTTCTTTGACTACTTCTAGCCATAGTGAAACCGGAAGTAATGTTATAAAATATTCAATTTTGGTTGAAAAATATTCTCTCTGGCAACACAAATTTGGAACCAGCTTTTCAAGTCTATTGATGCTACCTGTATGGGATTTAGACAAGACGCAAAATAATAAATTATTCTATAAAATTATTACTACAAATCATATGCCCTGAGCAATCATCAATGGGCCAGTCCACTTACCTTAATCGGGGTGTCAAGGGTCGCCTTAATGGAGACCGAAAACGAGACATCAAGCGGTCCAGGGAACGAAAGTGGGTCAGGGCCAAGAACAAACTGGGTCAGGTCTGCAAGATCTTTGGTAGGGTCACCACAGTTGTTGTACTTAAATGTTTTCAGATTGGAGAGGGTTTTCACCTAAAATAGAGATTTGGAAAAAATGTATTTGTATGTATGTATGTATGTATGTATGTATGTATGTGTGTGTGTGTGTGCGTCAGGGGCGGATTAAGCTTGGGCGGGGCCCCAGGCTTAAAATTTTTGGGGGCCCCTGATATATATATATATATATATATATATATATATATATATATATATATAAATAGTGTACCAAGATGATCTCACCAAGTTTACAATAGTGTACCAAGATGATCTCACCAAGTTTACAATAGTGTACCAAGATCATCTCACCAAGTTTACAATAGTGTACCAAGATCATCTCACCAAGTTTACAATAGTGTACCAAGATCATCTCACCAAGTTTACAATAGTGTACCAAGATCATCTCATCAAATTTGTGGTTCTCAGGCGTCTCAAAACATAGCGGAAGAAGTAGTTTACAACTTGATAGACATAATTACCTTGATTGGTGCACCATCAATTTTACGATCTGACAAGGCTCGGGAATTTGTGGATCAAGTGGTCAGTGGCCTGAAGGTATACTGGACCACTTACCCACACATACACGCACACATACACGCACACGTACACGCACACGTATACAGATAACCAAAAGTTTAATTTCCGTTAGTTCAAACCGCACTTGAATAAAATAAAACTTATGTAGCGATATCACATCAATCGATTATTATTGTTCAAGTATTACCTGCCCGTACGTTCATAATAGAATAGAAAACATTCACGTGGAAATATTTCTTTTGCTTTTCGCGTGGCTTTATTACAAACCAGAATTGCACAAATAATCAAAATCAAGGAATTATCGGTAGACCGCAAGCATTGTAATCTAGTCTCACTACCATCCGACCTCAAGATATTTGCATAAGTATATATTTTTTTTAAAGTTACGAAACGCCCCCGTCGTTGGCCACTAAATATAATATAAAATAAATTGAAAACGTACCGAGGACGACTTGCTCATCAGAAAATTAAACAGCATTCGCTCCCCTAGTTCTGTCGTGTATGGCTTTCTGCTGTACGCCTGTTGGGAACAGAAAACTAGTGTTGCGACCAGAAGGAAAAATTTAAACGCGGACGCCATGATGGTGAACTTGTGAACAAACTGAAGCCCGTCGTTAGTTGATGACTGTACTTAAACAAGACGACCGAAACAACGCCTCGGAGTTTACCTTGTGAACGAGATATAGATAGCGAATTATCTTTTTTTTTCTTGTTGAATTAATCTTGCATAGATAAGAGGCACGAGAGCTTTTAATTAGATCTACAGTTTCGTTATCATACAGGCGATTAAGCGAAGGCCTTAGTAGTGCTGCAATAGTATGATTTTAGCTTGTACATATATATATATATATATATATATATATATATATATATATATATATATATATATATATATATATATATATATATTCCGATAAATATATATAAAAAAAAATATATAATGGGATTTGTTATCATTACAGATTCTTAACCTAAACGTTACCAGCGTCCCTAAATTTGCCTTTGACTGTACAGATGGTGTGACCTTACATGTGATGTGTGAATTTTTTAGGTAGATTATGTCCTTACAGGACATGTTTTCGTGAATATATACATCACAACCTACACCACAGCACTAAATTAACTCATTGATTCATGAGGTAATAGCGGCGTGTGGTGGGGTATTCTAATTTTATTAGGTAGATGTGTTATTACAGGATAAATTTTCGTGAATAGATACATCACACCCTACACTACAGCACTTGATTAACTCATTGATTAATGAGGTAGTAGTGGCATTTGGTAGGATGTCCCACCATGGATCAGTTAGAGAGATCGGGCGAGCGCCAGAGTTTCTTCCAGGCATCTTTTCAGGCTCCGCCCCCCCCCCCCTCCCCAGGAGAAAGTCTACCCCCCCCCCGAACAACCCCCCGCCCGAAAAATGTTGACCGCCCCCCCCCCCCCAAAAATATCAAGTGCCGCCCCCGGAGAAAAAAAAGTCTGGGAGAAACACTGAGTACGCTCTGGGTAAAAATATACAAGGCACCTTCAATGACGACATTGGTTTCGAACCCGCAGCCGACAGCATAGATGTGATATTTCCACCCGTCCACTACGCCACCTACCTTTTTTTGTGTGTGTAAAATGCTGTACTTTGTATAAATAAAATCGTAGGGAACTTACCTAGTTCGCCGAGTCCATGAGCAGCACGCAACAGCAAGGCTGTGGATATTTAATAAAATACATTTTCATACCATTTGGATAAGATATGTGGAGTCGTGTGATGCTTATTTAGTTAATTCTTTGTTTAGAATTTATTTTATGTCATTAAACTGTGTCTTACCTCAAGCTTTTAGCTATTTATTCAATTTATTCAAAAACGGTAACAACATAGCAGTAACATAGCATTAAAAATGTGGAATAATGAAATAATATTACATAGTTATAATACAAAATAAGATAAAATGAGAATATAACAGATGAATGAGAAATGTTGCAATTAGTCAGTTTAGGAGGTCATTAAATAGTTGTTGTTTCAGTTTAGTTTTGAATATATTTTCAGATCTAGATATTTTTATTTTATTAGGAAGATTGTTCCACAAATTAGAACCAGAGTAGGTGAAGCTATGTTTATGGAAAATAGTTGTATATGGTATCAGTAAAACTAAGAAAATATTAACTGATATAGCAATTCAAATTTTAAATTAATATACACAGATTAAAAATTTAAAGATTTTTTTGTTTTGTCATTAAGAAATTCGTGCGTGCAAAGGTAAAAAAAGTTGGTTTATTAAAAGATCTATATACACTGCAATTGATTTTATGAAGAAGAAAGAAGATTTCATGACTATAAGAAGGGAATACAGACAGATACGCTACTTAGAGAGCAGTGTAATGTACGTACGGCAGAGTTTCTTTCAGGTATCTCTCCGAGGGGTGAGGCACCCCCCCCCCCCCGGAAACACATCTACTTCCCAGCCCCCTTGAATAAAACAGAATATATATACAAAATATATACTCAAGTCAGTGCCCCCCCCCCTTCCAAAAAGTTTCAATCCCCCCCCCTCCCCCAGGGAGAAAAAATGTCCGAAAGAAACACCGACGTACTGACGAACTAACTAACTGGCTGATAACTGAACTCATTATTTTGTCTATTACTTATATAGCATTACAATGTATTTGAGATAAAGGACTGGTACGTTATATACTGCAGAAGCTGATAGCCTTAAAAAGATCACAGAGATGTTATTATCAAATTTGCACTATGCACATTATAAACTTCCAAGGTTAAATATTTTTTATCGCTCAACGTAATGCAAAAATCGAGCAAACAAATCGAAATAGCTTTCTTTGTCACGAGAAAGAAATTTTTTTTTATTATTCTTCATACGCAGTGCCGGCGCCAGGTTATTTAGCGCAAAAATTATTAAAACCCCCTTTCACACAAATTAATTACTAAAACATATTATAAGAAAATAATTAATTAAAAGTGACATTAATTTTTTATCAATTATGTTAGTGTACGTTATAAGTTGACATCAAAAGCAAATTTTACTTGCCTCCTTCGTCGCAGAAGTTTGTACTAATTCCTTCAATCCTAGTTTGCAAGCGTAATCCCATTCTATTGAAATTGTTGCTCCACGAATCTACTTTATACTTTACGACATAGCCTCACCCCTTAGACGCATTTGTTGCACTAACTCACACTGCATGTCTACTAATATTAAGTATTGCAATCTACAACGGCTACGGATGTATTTGTTTTTCAACTTGATAATGCTAAAAAAACCTACCAAACTATTTTGTTTAGAACTTCTGCTGTATATAATTTTTACAATAGCAAATAATAACTTAAAATTGTGTTTATAAGTTAGCGGTTAACCTAAGGTGCAGTAATTTAAAGTGAATGTAAAGTTGAGCAATGAATTATCTCCCATTTGGTAATCCAAATACCAGTTTTATTCAAGGGAAATAACTTTCACAAGAATATCTAAATTAACCAAGTGTAACCAAGACGTTCTTGAAAACCACAATAAAACGTTATAAATTTCATCACTCAATAATTATACTAAATGTTTTATATTAGCTATGTGAACATGTCAAAACAATATATTATAATAATTGTTTACTTAACTATAGGTTTTGTTTGAAAGTAAAAACACGGTAGCTTTATTATAATGCACTTATTAATAATTTTTATGACTAACATTAATTTGTGTTTGGTCATTGTTATTAACATTAAAGATTATTTGGTTTAGATCACCTAGCCCAAAAAAAAAAAAAAAAAAAAAAAAAAAAAAAGATCACCTAGCCCAGGGGTCGGCAACCTTTTGAGACGGAAGTGCCAAAAGTTACAATTTTTAAATTTTCCCAGTTTATAAAGAGCCACAAACATTATTTTATACCAATATTTTATTTTTCGACTAGGATTAGGTAAATACATTTGATTTGCTATTTCAAATAAATAGCTTTAAATATGACATACACTTCTTTCGCGAGAATAATGAAATTAGTAATAAAAATAAAAACATTGGACTATCCCCATCCACTTTAGAAGCTGTTAACTATGTTTTTCTTTCTTTCCGGATAAGACCGGCTCAGAAGGTGTCTCACATTAGCCAAGCGGGCCTCAACACGGCAAACTCCGACTAACTGGCTTGGATATCGGTTTGATTACCGTGTATCGGTCTTTTCTGTCCTTTGGATCTCACGAGGTTTATCTCCCACCCCACCTAACGCTAGGTAAACTCGTACCCCACCGTCCTGTACCCGGCTCAACAATAGTAACTAATCACTTAAAAGCTACGTCACTCACGTCAAATTAATGATTACTGACCGCTATGGACATGCATTCTGAATAAAATGACATTAGCATGTAACGATATTCGAAAAAGTGGGCATTTGGGCTGTGGCAAGCATGGGATTGTTGTCACGGAGCTGGCTACAGCACGACTGTAGGACTGGACCTGGTGCCCAAGCGGCTGTCAGCTGTCCGTATACTTCCTACCTCACCTACTCTTATTGTTCTCTGATGAGTGTTTTTATCCTGTTTAAAGTTGAGTTCCTTTACACTTTACAGCATAATATTTGTTGCAAATTTTGGAAACGAAATAATATAACTATTAATATATGTGTAAGGATCTGGAGAGCCGCATCTTGACATCAAAAGAGCCACATGCGGCTCGCGAGCCGCAGGTTGCCGACCCCTGACCTAGCCCTAAATTAATGATTATTGTTTAAATATCACTCGATGCTGCTTGCGCGGTTTCACCGCCTGGCAGGACTCGGCTCAAAACAAAAAAAAATTGTTTAAATATAAAAGAAAATATTATTTGAAAAAAAAAACCCTCTCATGTTATGTTTATTTTATGTTTTTTCGGTATTTATATTATCAATTTTAATACATTTCCATTGCATACTATGTCATTCTTTAGTATGTATTTAAAAAAAAATAATTAAGAGAAGTAATTGCTGTTTAATTTGTTTAGTACAAATCTATTAAAAGGAGCCTATAAGCACCCTATTTAACTTTTTTAAAAAGGGAAATAAGTCGTGGAGGTGTTTTGAACGTAAGCCTATCTTTCACACTACAGCTTATGGTTTAAAAAACAAAGGGAAAAAGAATATATAAAAGCGTGGGATGTTGTCTATAGAATAAAGATAATCCAACCGCACTGCAGTATTCTTTTTACAAAACATCCATCAAGTCAAAAATGCAAGAAAATTAATTTTTTTAACTATAAAAAATTGATTATGGTTGGCTGGGGCCCCTAAATGGCGTGTGCCCCCCCCCCCCTTCTCCGCATTGCGGGGTCTGGCTGCACTGTAGTTCCGCCACTGCTTCATGCCCTACAATTGACGGCAGTAAAAAGTAAAAATAAAAGGGAGGTAACGAAAAAGTTACTGTATTATTTCACATATTTACTTCCCTTTATCGTTCTAAAAAAGTAAGTGGGGTTCACGGAATGGATAAGAACATTCTTTTGTGTACATACTGCTGAACAGTTTTTAAATCGATCATTTGTAGAAGCAGATTGTTGCGTGGTTAAGACAATACATTTCGACAAGAGTTTGGCGCAGGGGGTGGGGGGTGAGGTGTGGGGGGGGGGGGTGGGGGGTTGGGTGGGGGGGTGGGGGGGGGTGGAAGAGAATTTTGAGCGGGGGAGGGGATATGGAAAGGTGTGCGGATTAGAGAAAATTAATTCTCCTTAAATTACCAAAACTTATATATATATATATATATATATATATATATATATATATATATATATATATATATATATATATATATATATATATATATATATATATATATATATATATATATACTTTCTTTAATAGATTAGGCACAAACCACCTAGACCAATGTATTGGTGCGAGCATGGCTGATCTGGTGCCCCAGTTTTTACCATACAACAATGGTGTCATACAAGTACTTTCAAATCGTAAAAAAGTTTATCTGACACTCCTATTCATACGGAACGGAATTCAAGAAGCATTGATTCGCTATGTTATTCTTATCTTCTCAGCACAAATAAACACTTTGCCAAAGACCTTACTTCCTGCTATACCATTTCAAATAGGTCACATGACTTACGTCATTTACGAGCAGTTGAATACTGCTGCATAGTCGTCAATGTATTTAATTCCAAGGCTGTACGCGTTTATAGTATTAAACATTGAATGTATGAGTTCTACAATAATGAATAACATCGATTATGAAAATTGTCTTTCGTAACTATAAAACCTTGCAGATCGGTACGATTCAGTATATTGCATTTAGATGCTAGTTGAAGTATTATTTTAGAGAAAAATCCTTTCGTTCTGGGGGGGGGGGGGGGAGGCAGTACACGTACTTCTGAAGAGGGGGGGGGGGGGTGGTATGTGGGGTTGGGGTGGAAAGAAGGAGACTCTGTATCCGAGAGATCTGGGTGGATGCCAAATTTGGGCACACCAGTTTTGTTTACCTACAGTTTTACGCACGGATTCTTTTTCTGAGAAACTTGATCCACTAGTTTTATTGAGTTTCTTGAAATTTGCATTTGTTAGGTTATAAGCTTATCTCTGTGTGTGTGTGTGTGTGTGAGTGTGTGTGTGTGTGTGTGTGTGTGTGTGTGTGTGTGTGTGTGTGCTGTATATATGTAAATGTTTGTATTACCTCTTCAATGTTTTGTATCACATATAGGTCTATATGTAGAGTACAGGCAAATAAATCATGACAGATATTTAGATAATCCATTATTTTGTTGTAATTCATACTGTCCATAATACATAAAAAAATAAATGCATAAAGCAAATGAAATGGGTTAGTAGTAGCCTACCCTCATTTGGAGATAGTTGTCAGAAACGAACGACATCAGTACGTTAACCTTTCAATTTACGTTAGAGTGTTAGGCTAAGGTTAAAGTATCGAAGTGTTTTTTTTCCAGACATTTTCCTCAGGTGTGTGTGTGTGGGGGGGGGGGAGACTAACTTCAGTTTCCTGGGAGGGGGATATAAATTATATTTCGTTCGTAGACTTCTTCGGGGTGAGGGGGGGGGGGGCGTACTTATGTACTTAGGTACCCCCCACCCCCCACAGGAGGAGAAGCCTGAAAAAAACCTCTGAAGTATCGTTACCCACAATACCAGTAATAAGAATATATGTAGTTCTATGTAGTTCTAGTTAATTAACAGTATCGAAGGGAAATATGCCTACAGCATGGTTTTCTATGACAAAATCTTAACGAATCCGCTGAGCCTTTAGAAAGGTACGCCTATGATGGGGTGTGTTACGAGATAATAGAAATAACAAACAATAGCACCTCGCTCAAAAGGCTGTGATTTCATTTCTATTTTCTAAGGAACACGTCCTTACAAGAAACCTGTTTAGGAACTTATAGGAAAAAGTCTATATCCCAGAAAAATGGTTTCCAGTTATACTTCGTTGGGCTTATTTTACCCCCGCCCCTTTTTTTCTTTCTTTCTCTCCCCTTAGCTAACTTACGTAAGTAAAAGGCTAGACAACTCAGTCAGCATAACAAGATTTACTATATCAGAATTCTATACCATTCGTATGAGCCACTGGACGTAAGGGCCACTTTCTTGTACTCCTGTAAGTTTCGATTGGTTTAGTTGTTAACATTAAACGTGTATGATTTCTGCTGGATTTCTGTGTTGTTGTTGCTGTTACAACTTAGAACATAAATATTACTGACAATTTAGCTATTTATTCGGTTTCTATAAGTAATCGAAACTAATATTTATACTATATATATATATATATATATATATATATATATATATATATATACATATATATATATATATATATATATATATATATATATATAATTATACATAGACTATATATTTGTCTAAATAGGTTATATTTATGGCAGTTAGTTATTTTGTTTTGGGTTAGTGTTGAGTTTGAAGCACATGTATGTGTACCGGTTATTCAACTGTAATTAGATTTTTTCCCCCCAAAGAAACAGATTTTATGCCGAAAATGTTAGGTGGGCCACTTTCGTAACTATTTAAACTTAATATTGGACGGCGTGGTTGAGGGACAGAGCGTTCAATTGCTGACCCGAAAGTCTCGAGTTCAGATCCCGACAGCGAGTCCGCCCAACTCTGATGGGGTCATCCATTAATGACGCCACGCTTTTTTGACGATTTTTACCTCCCCCTCCCCTCCGTCACACATCGTCACAAAAAGCCAGACCCCCACCCATAAAATGACATCGGATCACACCTCAGCCTACAACCCCCTCAAAATTGCAGTTGCATTTTTCTTAAAATTTCAATATTTTAGCAAAATCTTGTCTGAACTCTGTCAATATAGTATTTTAATCAATTCCTACTGCAATTTATTAAAAACAGTTTTCTAAAACGCGAAATAACGTCTTGAATTAATTTTTAACATTGCTTTTTTATAATGCAAAAGTGTGACGTCGCACCATTTGCACCCCCCTCCCTTTCATCACACACCGTCACAAAATTACGGACCCCCCCCCCTCCCTCCTTCGAGGGTGATGTCATTTATGGACGACTCCAGATGGGGAAAGCGCTGACCACACTATTCATTCATGTAAATGCTAGTATTTTATAGTGTGAGGGGGGGGGCGGCTTGTGGCCTGCTTAAGTAGGTTTGTAATAACCTTTTTACAGAATTCTGATCTAGGCCAAATGTTTATTTAATTTTTTATAGGCCTATATAGACTATCAATATTATAATAGGCCTACAGGTTATTAGTTATGAGAAAGGAATTCTAGGCAAACGTTATTTAACGTTAGATTATAATGGAATAAGGGTGTTGCGTATTTTATGCACTGTTCCTATTTATAGCGCGCGTAAAAAATACCCATTTTCTCTGGTTAGTTGAATGATATTAGAAAATCGACCCTTCTGTTTTTATTTCCCCACTTTAACGGGTTTACCCGGTAAGGCGAAGGGAAACTACTCTTGAAAAACTGTAAAAACGTGGATACTGCAATCTCAGTGAAAGCCGAAAGCATTCACGTAACTCGACCCAGTTAGATTCTATAACCGAGAAAGAATGGCAACAGAAGAAGAACAGTTTACTTTGTGTGTTCAAAATGTTGAAAAAGCGGTAAATAATAACGATATTTAAAAATAATATTGTAACAATATTATTGTAAGAAGTCCTACTCTAGAATCTGGACTTCTGGACCAATCTTTTTTTTTTTTATTGTTGTCAACTCTCCTCTTCTCTTACTCTTCTTAACTCTTATTCTTAACTCTAACTTAACTTAACTAACTTCCTTGGAACTTTACTAGTCTAGATTCTAGATCTAGATCTAGATCTATTACTAGTATTAGGACTTAGAATCTAGACTCTAGACCTAGACTTAGGTCTTACTCTTACAGTCTTACTCTTAGATTTAGAGAAGAATCTTAGAATTCCAGATCTAGATCTACAGATCTAAATCTAGTCTAGATCTAGAGTCTAGATGTTCTAATCAAAATCTAATCTCTAGAATCTAAAATTCTAGATTTATTAGGCCTAGATTCTAGATCTAGAGATCTAGATGTATTGTCTAGATCTAACTAACTGCTGTTTATGTAAAAATTCATAATTTTGAAATGAATCAGCCTATGGGCAAAATACTAATGCCTTAGTTTGGCCTAATTAAAATTATTTTGTTCTTGGCTGAATAAGCTCTGGTGGTATTACATATTTAATAATTTAATGAAAGCCTTGGAACCATTTTTGTGATTTAGAAGTTTTAAAACATTCTTATGATGAAAATTTTTCAGGAGCGGGAAATCGAACGCCTGCAAGCAGAACTTGCAGTTGTTGCAGACGGTAAAAAGTTGCTCGAAGAAGGTTTTGCTTCACCAGAACTTGAAAAACTTAGGATGGAAAATCAGAAGCTGAAATTCCAGTTGAATCATTTGAAGACAGTAAGTTATGATTTTTTGTTTTAACACACAATTTCTAGAGTGAAATAAGTTTTTTTTTCACATGTTGAGTTGAATCTGATGCTAATTACATGTTTAACTCTACAAAGTGTTGAGTAAAACAAAGATCAATTTTAGGTGTTGTTTTTATATATTGTCTTCATTTAAAGGAGTAATTATCAAATAGAAGTTTTCACCCAGTCAGTAAATGTTAGTTAAAAGCTATATTGTTACAGTCTAGGATATTTTTGCCCTAAATTACAAACATTTAGTGAATGACAGAATATAGACTATACATAGAACTACTTTTAGATCTTAAATTAGAAAATTTTTTTTCATTTTACATTTGTTTTTAGAATACAAATTTTTATTTAATTAATAACTAATGTCATTAACTTTCTTTTGCAATGTAATCTTCCATAGACGTAAAAGTGCATGATTTTAATCTTGTAAATTTTGTGTGTGCAGTACTTGTCTGAGGAGAAGGGTAGAGTGAGGGACTACGCTCTAGACATCCGAGGTATCGTCGAGGATGTCTTCACCAGAGCCATCTACACAGCATTTCCAGAGCTCCCCAACCCCATAGTGCTGGTGGTACCAAGTACAAAGTTCAGTGACTACCAGTGCAACAGCGCCATGTCCATAGCTCAGGTCAGTTCAGTGCCATGTCCGTAGGTCAGTTTGGTGCCATGTCCATAGGTCTTTTTAGTGCCATGTCCATAGGTCAGTTTAGTGCCATGTCCATAGGTCAGTTTGGTGCCATGTCCATAGGTCTGTTTAGTGCCATGTCCATAGGTTATTTTGGTGCCATGTCCATAGGTTATTTTGGTGCCATGTCCATAGGTCATTTTGGTGCCATGTCCATAGGTCATTTTGGTGCCATGTCCATAGGTCATTTTGGTGCCATGTCTATAGGTCATTTTGGTGCCATGTCCATAGGTCATTTTGGTGCCATGTCCATACAGTAGTTTGGTGCCGTGGCCATGGGTCAGTTGGTGCCATGTCCACAGGTCAGTTTGGTGCCATGTCCACAGGGCAGTTTGGTGCCATTTCCATTCGTCAATTTTGTGCCATGTCCATATCTCAGGTCAGTTGAGTGCCATGTCCATAGCTCAGGTATACAGCTTAAATGAGGTTCAATTGGTTATATACATAACTTTGATGTCCAACTTTATCTGGTGCTATAAAGAAATAACTTCTTTTGGAAAATGTGGTCAAATCAGGCTATATGATGAGAGTTCAGCATTTTAAAAATGTTTTCCCTAACATAAAAAAATCTGAGAAAGTGTAATCAACTTTTTGAAATCCTAATATTATGCAGTGTGCTATAATAAAAAAAAATAAATTCATATTAATCAGTGTTATTTTTGTTTTTTTGTTTACATTATTTGTTTGCATGAAAATATTCATTTTCAAGATCTATAATATTTTAGTTCTTTGTTTCATTAATACACTGTTTCCTTGTTACACTGTTTGTTACTTCTGGGTTATCAAAAAGTTATGGTTTAATGTTGTAAACTTAATACATAGTGTTTTCACTGTTTCAGCAACTGTCTGTCTCTGTGTCAGGGTTAAAGCTGTTATCTTAATACATGGTATTTTCACTGTTTCAGCAACTATCTCTGGGTTAGCATTCACGCTGTTATCTTAACACTTAGTGTTTTCACTGTTTCAGCAACTGTCTGTCTCTGGGTTAGCATTAAAGCTGTTATCTTAATACTTAGTGTTTTCACTGATCCAGCAACTATCTCTGGGTTAGCATTAAAGCTGTTATCTTAATACTTAGTGTTTTCACTGTTTCAGAAACTATCTACCTCTGGGTTAGCATTAAAGCTGTTATCTTAATATGTAGTATTTTCACTGTTTCAGCAAGTGTCCAGCACTACAGGGAAGAAGACAAGCCCAAGGGACGTTGCTCAGGCCATCTTGGACAATGTACCAGACACTCCCTTCTTTGAAAAGGTTTGATAATTTTTTTAATGCCCGAAATTTAGAACACCCCTTTTTACCTACAACTCTGAACGTTCCTCTAGTTTTTAGTCCCACGCCAGTTAGTAATTTCTCTATAAGATATATGCACCTTTTAAGTAATATTTTAAGTGTATAACATCAGTTTCTTGCACTTTAAATCAGAGCACTGTTTTATCAATCATAAAATTTAGTTTCATTGCAAGCTGTTAAAATGTTTTATTTGAGCTGTGTTGCCACTTGTATTACTCCACCTAGTTATGTGTAATCTAACAGAACCATTCTCGTCTATCTTAGATGGATATAGCAGGGCCTGGTTTCATCAACATTGCCTTGAAAAAAGAGTTTGTGGCCAAGGAACTGAGTTTTCTGCTGACCCATGGCGTCAAACCCCCAAAGGTGGTCAAAAGGAAAGTGGTCATTGATTACTCATCGCCCAATATCGCAAAAGAGATGCATGTTGGTCATTTAAGGTAAAACAAAGAATTTAAATATTTGAAATTTAAAAAAAAATTAATATAAAACTATATTCATTGCAACTGTTATTTGATATTCTCATGTAAATTATAATTATAAGGAATTTGAATCATTAAGTTTATTTTAATGTTTTTAAATGGTTAGTAATAGTGCAAAAAGATTATTTAGAAAGAATTTTAACTTAATGAAACAAAAGCATGTTTTTTAAAACAAACATCTTTTTGGCATTTGAACATGATAAAAATATTTGAAATATGCACTTGCTAAACATCTCTTAGTATACAAGTCATTTTAGAATATATAAACTTGATATGGTGATATACAATAAATACCTTATATAAAGTGCAAACATTTATCATGGATTATGCAAGTTTGATTATTTTTTTTTTTTTTTGTAATCTCTAGGTCAACAATTATTGGAGAAAGTATTAGTCGTTTGATGGAATGGGTGGGTCATGATGTCCTCCGCCTCAACCACCTTGGAGACTGGGGCACACAGTTTGGTATGCTGACCGCCCACCTGATTGAGAAGTACCCCAACCTCCTAGAGGTCAGGCCACCTATTGAGGACCTGCAAGCCTTCTACAGGGTAAAAGAATTCTCATTTACAGTTAACACTTATACTCATTTACGGTTCATCATTCCTTTGTGGCCCCTGAGGAGCACATTGCTGCAACTACATATTTCCAGCGGGCTGGGTTTTGGGCTGCTCCTTTAATCTGTGCCCATGTTAGCCCAGCTGTCTTTACGTTAAACACTCATCAAATTGTAATGACAGTTAACACTCATCAAATTGTAATGACAGTTAACACTCATCAAATTGTAATGTCTTTACTTGAACTGTCCTATTCCTTAGGAGCCCCTGAGGAACAAAGAGCAGCTACGCCTCTGCACTGGAATTTGTTTTGGACAGCTCTCTTTAGTTGACCCCACATAAATTCACCACAACTTGCTTCTTTTTCCACTGTCCCCCATGTCATCCAATTTTTTCTCCCTGGGGGGGGGGGGGGGGGGGGGTTCCTGTTTACTGCTTTCCTTATGATGTTGTTCTCTCTTCCCTTCTCATGAAATAGATCTTTACTACTTCACTTTAATTATAACATTGGGATAAATAGACATGACCAATTTATTTCTGTTATAAATTATGTTTAAGTTATTTTTTTTATAAGAAATGTTAAAAATGTAATAAAAAATTATCATTTTTTAATTAAAAAAGTGATGCAGTTTTCTTTGAGAAATTCTAATCATACCTATAGTTATTTTGTGAATGTTTTAGTTTTAAAGTTATTTTTAAGAAATCTTTACAAAATCAAATCTAAAAAAGTGATGGTAAAATCTTCTAGAATTTTCTTAAATGGATTCTTATCCTGTCTAAAAAAATATTTGTGAATATAGTTTAAATTATTTTTAATTATATGAACAGTTTTAACAAAATAACTAAAAAACAACCATTATTAAAATCAAAGAGTATTTTTTAAAAGGTTTCTAATCCTGTCTATAAAATTGTACACATGATGTGTCTCTAGGTATGTAAATTACATTTTATTTCTGTCTTGTAGGAGTCAAAAGCCAGGTTTGATGATGAAACCCAACCAGAGTTCAAGCGCAAGGCCTACGAGTGTGTGGTCAAGCTCCAGTCTAAGGACCCTTTCATCTACCAGGCATGGAAGATCATCTATGACATTTCCATGGAAGGTGAGTTTATCTACTATCATCTATGACAGGGGTCTCCAAACTTTTCAGTCCGAGGGCCGCATTAACTATCAAATTTAAGTTCGTGGGCCAGTTTCTTCCAGGCATGTCTTTGATTTTTCTGGGCAAAGTTCCTCCGCCATCACCAACAAACGGTTTTTCCGTGGACAAAAAGATCTCCACGGGCCGGATGAGAGGACATCGCGGGCCGCATTCGGCCCACGGGTCGTAGTTTGGAGACCCCTGATCTATGACATTTCCATGGAAGGTGAGTTTATCTACTATCATCTATGACATTTCCATGGAAGGTGAGTTTATCTAATCTACTATCATATATGACATTTCCATGGAAGGTGAGTTTATCTAATCTACTATCATCTATGACATTTCCATGGAAGTTGAGTTGGTCTACTATCATCAATGACATTTCCATGGAAGGTGAGTTTATCTACTATCATCTATGACATTTCCATGGAAGGTGAGTTGATCTACTATCATCTATGACCTTTACATGGAAGTTGAGTTTATCTACTATCATCTATGACATTTCCATGGAAGGTGAGTTTATCTACTATCATCTATGACATTTCCATGGAAGGTGAGTTTATCTACTAGCTGAAAGCTGTTCATCTATAAAATTTTTATGGGATGGCTTGGTCTAATGGGAGAGAGTTAGACTGCTAACCCATAAGTGTCTTGAGTTCTGATCCTGGGGTTGGGACTGTAATGCGCACTTGAGTGAGATGGGTACGCTAGGGAAAATAAAGTCTGTTCGACATCACTTCACTATCCCATTACATGAAGAGGTCACAGAAACAGCTCAACTCTATTTCACCTTCCTTATGGACCATAAGGTTCTGAAGGGTACTTTACTTACATTTTACTGAGATATTCATTAGCTGGAAGATCATTCATGATATTTTTATGGATCACATATTTTACTTGCTAACTAGAATGTGAGACATTTTCATGGAAGGTTACTATTTACAACCAGGATTAATCTCAACCTGACAGTTTGTCAGTTTAGCAAGCCCTATGTTTTAATTACATCTGCTTATAAATGATAAACAGAGCTTAAGATAGTTAGAGGAGAACAAGTGAGCAAAAGAAAGTATTATTTCAACACTATTTCATCAGTCTTATAAGTCAAAAATAAAATCTGGAATTAAAAAGGTTGCAATTTTTTACTCTCAGGCTGCTGAACGCTGTGTTTTTGAATTCACTAAATCTTTATATCTTCTCCACTGAACTCATAATGTACAGTTGTATTGTAAACTCTGAATGTTTCTTCTACAATCAATTTAAACATTTTTTTTTATTGAACACTCTTGTAAGAATTTAATTTTTTCCATGTCAATAGTCAACAATGGGGTGTATCGCAAACTTGGAGTTTCAAAGAATCTGATTGAGAGGGGTGAATCATTTTACCAGGACCGCATGGTGCAGTTGATAAAGGACCTGGACCAAGCAGGTACACTTGTGCTACAGGGTTATTTATTCAGTGTGATTATGTGTAGCTACAGGATTATTTGGTTGGGTGTGATTATGTGTAGTTACAGGATTATATATAGTGTGATATTGTGTAGCTACAGGATTATATATACAGTGTGATTATGTGTAGTTACAGGATTATTTATTCGGGTGTGATTATGTGTACTTACAGGGTTATTTAGTTGGGTGTGATAATGTGTAGTTACAGGATTATTTGGTTGCGTGTGAGAAAGTGTAGTTACAGGATTATATAGTTGGTGTGATAATGTGTAGCTACAGGATTAATTAGTTGGGTGTGATAATATGTTACTGGATTATTTAGTTAGGTGTGATAATGTGTAGTTACTGGATTATTTAGTTAGGTGTGATAATGTGTAGTTACAGGATTATTTAGTTAGGTGTGATAATGTGTAGCTACAGGATTATTTAGTTAGGTGTGATAATATGTTACGGATTATTTAGTTAGGTGTGATAATGTGTAGTTACTGGATTATTTAGTTAGGTGTGATAATGTGTAGTTACAGTATTATTTAGTTGGGTGTGATGATGTGTAGTTATAGGATTATTTAGTTACGTGTGATAATGTTTTACAGGATTATTTGGTTGGGTGTGATGTGTATTGTTATTTAGGTTATTTAGTTAAGAGTAAATCGCATTGTTTTATGGTAAAATCAAAACATAAGGGACGGCATGGTCAGGCAGGTCAGAGCCTGATTATCAATCCAAAAGTCCTGAGCAGTAATGTTGCTTATCAACTGACAAACTTCAAAGCAAAACCTTGATTTCAAAATTACATACTGTTAAGTAAAAAAAAGAACATGTTTATTCAAGCAAAACCAGTTTTAGAACTGTTTGGTATAGAATTTAAAATGATCGTTTACCAAGTCTTATGGTTAGGTTTTACTGTAAATAATTCAATAGTGTATTTATTATTATTATTTTTTTAAAAAACTTTCTTTGAGAAATTTTTGTTAATTTAAAATAAATTTTCAATATGTTGCTGTGTCCCTAGGGGAAATAACCATTGATGAGCATGGGCGGAAAGTCATGTTCCTGCCAGGTTTTGATGTGCCACTAATGCTGGTCAAATCAGATGGAGGCTTTACCTATGACACCTCAGATTTGGCTTGCATTAAACAAAGGCTGCAGGAAGAGAATGGTGAATGGCTCATCTATGTGGTAGATTCTGGACAGGTAGGTGGAAAATTTTACTGGGCTCATTTTAAATTCATGTAATTTAGTAAAATTGTTAACTATGTCAGTTTTGTTACCCATCCCACAATGAACAAGGGAAACAATTTACTATGGGATAGACTATGGGTGTAATCCACCCAGTTGCCCGGGAATCAGAAGCAGAGGCGTAGCGACCCTTCCCGGCACCCAGGGACAAACTTTCAATTTGGCGACCCCTGGGAACAAATTTTCAAGTTTCACCCTCTCCCCTCAAACTTTTGATTTGCACCCTCCCCCTAAAACTATTTATAATGCAAAAATGCAGTTAAAACGACATTTTAATTTGTTTTTACAGCCCATTTTGGCGCCCCTTAAGGTTGGTGCCCGGGTTATATGTACCCCCCAGCCCCCCCCCCCCCCCCCCCCCCCCATCGCTACGCCTCTGATCAGAAGAAATAGTATTTCCCATTATAAAAAGAGTACGGGTGTGATCCACCCAGTTGCCGGGGACAGGGTACCAAATATGTTGCTGGGGAAAGGGTTAAGCTGTGTTACAAGAACTTTAAAAAAAATATAGGCTACCTTACAATGTTTTTAAGTTTTTATTTAAACAGAAGTTTAAAGAAATAGAATTATAAACTTATAATCGTTTATGGTTTAAATGAAAGTTAACTTTTAGTTTGGATTACACACTTGCAACCAGTGCTGCTGTTTAAAAGAAATATTTTGCATCTATCAATAAAGAAAAACTCACTACATGGTGAATGGTCCTAGAGGTAGATAGAGTTCATCTGTTTTATGTCACCGCGTCATAAAAAGGTGTTGTGTGTTAAATAATTGCTGTGACAATTATTTTCCTAAAAAAACAAAAAAATGAGTTCATGACTGCTGGGAAACTCTGATAGCTGAGTGGACTCAAGGAATTCTGTTTTGGACTCATTAGTATAGACTTAAGAAATTGTATCTGGAACTGAATAATGCTGAGTAAGCTCGAGGAATTATATCTGGAATTCTTTACTGCCTAGTGGACTGAAGGAATCTATCTGGAATTCTTTACTGCTTAGTGGACTCAAGGAATCTATCTGGAATTCTTTACTGCTTAGTGGACTCAAGGAATCTATCTGGAATTCATTAGTGTAGGCTCAAGTAATTATATCCGGATCTGAATAATGCTGAGTTGGCTCAAGGAATTATATCTGGAACTCTTTACCACTGAGTAAACTCAGGGAACAAAGTAAGGAACACTTTACAGCTGAGTAGACTCAGTGCCGGCAGCATACCTGAATCTTTTAAACATTCAGTATAACACAAAACCACTCAATCTCATCTGCATCATTGTGCATCTTTATTTAGAGCAATGACCTATTTAAACCATTTCCCCTCCCCCCCCCTCTGTACAGAGCACTCACCTCCAGTCCATCTTTGTTGCTGCTGACAAGCTAGGCTGGGTGGACAAGGCCAAACATCGCATTGATCATGTCGGCTTTGGGCTGGTCCTGGGGGAGGACAAGTAAGTCTATTTTATAGTACTCCATCTGTCAGCAGCCTTTCTTTTTATAGTACTCCATCTGTCAGCAGCCTTTCTCTTTATAGTGTTTAGCTGTCATCGGCCTTTCTCTTTATAGTGTTTAGCTGTCATCGGCCTTTCTCTTTATAGTGTTTAGCTGTCATCCGCCTTTCTCGTTATAGTGTTTAGCTGTTATCTGCCATTCTCTTTACTTCTTCATTGTAATTATCTATCATTGACTTTTTCCTTTGCTTCAATCTATTGCGTGTATATAGACCTACCTAACCATCATTACCCTTTTCATTCTGCAACAAGACCAATAAAGGGAGATAATATGGTCCTTTTTTTGGAAAGTATTTTCTAGAGTTACCTGCCATAAATTTCTTTCGTTTTTTTTAGCAGACGAAATTTATTTTTTGAGTTAATGGTGTTATTAAATTTTAAGAGTTGAAAAAAAAAAAGTGGATCGCATGCACTTTTCTCTAGACACAACAAAAATAAATATAATTTGATGGATCTGCTCAATGATTACCATTCTGCAATTTCATCTTAGATTTATTTTATTTATTCTTTACAATATTCCACTTCACATTTATTTTTAACAATATTTCTTCTCATATTTATTCTTACCAATATTTCATCTCATATTTATTCTTACCAGTATTCCTTCTCATATTTATTCTTACCAATATTCCATCTCATATTTATTCTTACCAGTATTCCTTCTCATATTTATTCTTACCAGTATTCCTTCTCATATTTATTCTTACCAATATTCCATCTCAAATTTATTGTTACCAATATTTCATCTCATATTTATTCTTACCAATATATCATCTCATATTTATTCTTACCAATATTTCATCTCACATTTATTCTTATCAATATCTCACTTCACATGTATTCTTTTTTATACTATATCCAAGTCCTAGACCTACTATATTTTAAAACTTCTAATGTGTGACAGCTATTTAAGGTGGTTTTTTTTATTGAATGAGAAAATGATGTTTAATTAAAATGAGTTAGTGTTTGTTTGATCAAAATACCTTTTGGAGAAACGTTTTAAACTTGCATCTGTTAAGGGGAAAAGCCCAAGAGCTCACTGTAATTAGAATAGAATATTTCTAACTTTTTGAACCAGTTCTATCTTTATGTTCCATATATCAAGCTTGTGACAGGGCCACACAATAATTTAAAAATTGTTTGGTTGATAGAGATGGCTGCTCATTCTTAAATAGGCTTGGTTTCCCTTGCCAAATTTTTTCAGCTTGTTATACCAAACTTCCTGGACCTGTAGTTGACTGTTTAAGTGGGGCTCACTTTTTTACTTGCATGAGAAGTTAATGGTATCAGGCTCAATGGTTATTGCTTTTGTTATAGTTTTAATAGAAAATATTGAATCAGTTGTTTTGTTCATAATAATTGAAAGTGACATCAGGTTATAGATTTATAATGGGATGTAATTAGAAACTTAAACTTAAAATAATTAAACATTCTTTAATTATTGGAACTTGTTAGGTAGCCTTGGTTATATAAATTTATAATGTGTTGTAAATAGAAAATTAAACTGAAAGAATTAATCAGACATCACATAGAATCAAGGGAAATAACTGGTAGTGCATAAAGTAACTCAACCTTACTCAAAATGTCACACTAAGGCAAGCAGGATTGAATGTCGGGACTACATTTTACCCGTGGAGTATTGAGTTGTTTTGGTATTTCGTTGACCGGTTTATTGTTTCGCTTTTATTATTACCTGATGTTGGTATTTGGTGTCCGATACGGAGGCCAGTCGGTATCAATACCTAGACCGGTGGGTCTCAATACGGAGGCCGGTGGGTCTCAATACTGAAACCGGTGGGTCTCAATACTGAAACCAGTGGGTCTCAATACTGAAACCGTTGGGTCTCAATACTGAAACCGTTGGGTCTCAATACTGAAACCGGTGGGTCTCAATACTGAAACCGGTGGGTCTCAATACGGAGGCCGGTGGGTCTTAATACGGAGACCAGTGGATCTCCATACTGAGATCCGTGCGTCTTAGGCCTCTGTACATTGTCTATACAGCCCTTGTAGAAATACCCTGAGCTTTGTGGATCACTGTTGGAATAACCCAGTACTTTATTAGTCCCTGTAGTATGTTAATCAACCCCCTGCCATAAGCCCCTACCATAAATCCCTGTACTATGTAGATCAAGCCCTTGTAATATGTTGACCAAGCCCCTGAAATATGTTGACCAAGCCCCTGAAATATGTTGACCAAGCCCCTGAAATATGTTGACCAAGCCCCTGCACTATGTTGACCAAGCCCCTATAATATGTTGACCAAGCCCCGATACTATATTGACCAAGCCCCTGTAATATGTTGACCAAGCCCCTATAATGTGTTGACCAAGCCCCTGTAATATGTTGACCAAGCCCTGTAATTACCCTCATGATCACGGAGCCTGAGAGAGAGACGAGGCATAACCGCCTGTCACGTGAGCGCAATGGTGTGTGCAAGGTACTCAGTTGCTGTTGTAGTACATCACACGATAGGCTAGTGTGTGTGTTGGATGTGTGTTTTGGGTGTGTGGGGGGGGGGGGACTGATCGAAACATATTGCGGTTATGTTCAATATTTTACAATACGACGGTATTGTAAATATAAACATGATTTTTCTTTAACCTTGTTGAATTATACTGGCTGTTTTGGATGAATAATAAAGGGGATTGTAAACAATAGAATTAGCGCTAAATTTGAAGGTTGTTAACAATAGAACCAGCTTTTTTTTAAGGTTGTCAACAATAGAATTGTCACTAACTTTGAAGGTTGTTAACAATAGAACTATTGGTAAGCCTGGAGTTTTTAACAGTAGAACCACAACCTTAAACTTGTTGGTAGCAGCCCTATAGCTATGGGCGTTAACGACTTTATTTATACGGCTAATCGATGATAGCAACCTACATTGTTTCAGCCGTATGTTATTTATATCGCTTGAAAGGTTTTTCTCAACATCTTTTCCTCTTCATCTCTTCTTAAACTTTATAGAATCTTTAAGTATTAAAAATACGAGTACAAAAATATGACATAATCTCTTTCAACATTTTAACATAGTTTTCGAATTTTATGTTGTTGCTATATTTGATTTGGAGTTGGGGTCGGAGGAATTTCCGTCGAACATTACAATTAAGAACGAAGAAGAAGATTTAAGGTTGAAGTGAACCTAAGATTATTATCTTGTGTTGGTTTGTTTATAACTGTATCCGTCCATAAATATTTAAAGACTCTCTAAAGACTGTAAAAGACTGTTCACGTAAAATGAGTTCTTACTTGGCACTAGTAATTTTTAAAAGAGTTGATTTGATTATAACTGTACAAGTCCTATATACGACTATTATCACGTGATATCATCTGACGGAAAACGATTGGAATACAATATTACATTTACTCTAGTTAAATAGAAGCCAACTGAACTCCTCCCCGCCCCCCTTCCAAAGTAAAAACAAGCCACAAAACAAAACGCCACCTTCTGTTGTGTCCGTCTGTTTCCGTACCCTTGTACTGTCTGCTGAATCTCCTGGGTCACTGCTGGAGTTATGACATCCCCGGTCTGACCTGTCACATGATAGACAGCAATGTCGCACCCTAGTTCGCAAAATACCCCGCAACGTTATGCATGTTTAATAAAATTATCAATCCCCTATCTTAACCCGAGAATAGCATTCATCCTCTTTTTCTTTTTTTGTGCCCCAAGACACATGGGGTCAACCACTATTGTCTGCAACCGGCAATTTTCTTGGCAGTCCCCTAAGAAAGTCCTGCCTCTGCCAGCTGCTTCCCCGCTGTACGCCTCCACACCCCCCTTAGCCTTCCCTTCTTGATAGAGTCCTCTAGCTTTTAAAAGGGCTCAGCTTAAAGTACAACACAGGTCTACTGACCTTGACTGAGCACACCAGTGGCTGATACTGTGTGAGCGAACGCAGGGTGTCGCCCCTCATTCCTACTAAGAGATTGTATCAGACTATTTTGATGAGCCTAAATTATTGTCAGTTTCCTGTCACCCCCATCTTAGATGAACGCCCCCCCCCCCCCCCATTGAAGAAATTCCCACAGTCGCTTAAGATCGGTGCAATTCTCCCCCCCCCCCCGCGCTATGTAATACAACCTACGCAGCACTGACGGTGTTTTGTTTGCTTCTCGGTATCATTCACCACTACCTGTGTGTCACCACTATCTGCCTGTATCACCACTATCTGCCTGTATCACCACGATCTGCCTGTATCACCACGATCATCCTTTGTATATACACGATCTTTTTGTGTACATCCACAATCTGCCTGTGTACATCCACGATCTGCCTGTGTACATCCACAATCTGTGTACATCCACGATCTTCCTGTGTACATCCACAATCTGTGTACATCCACGATCTGCCTGTGTACATCCACGATCTGTCTGTGTACATCCACGATTTGCCTGTGTACATCCACAGTCTTCTTGTGTACATCCACAATCTGTGTACATCCACAATCTGCCTGTGTACATCCACAATCTGCCTGTGTACATCCACAATCTGCCTGTGTACATCCACAATCTGCCTGTGTACATCCACAATCATCCTGTGTACATCCACAACCTGCCTGTGTACATCCACAATCTGCCAGTGACCCACAATCTACCTGTGACCCACAATCTGCCTGTGTACATCAACAATCTGCCTGTGTACATCCACAATCTTCGTGTGTACATCCACAATTTGCCTGTGTACATCCACAATCTGCCTGTGTACATCCACAATTTGCCTGTGTACATCCACAATCTGCCTGTGTACATCCACAATCATCCTGTGTACATCCACAACCTGCCTGTGTACATCCACAATCTGCCAGTGACCCACAATCTACCTGTGACCCACAATCTGCCTGTGTACATCAACAATCTGCCTGTGTACATCCACAATCTTCGTGTGCACAACCACAAATTACTTGACAACAATTTTTTCTCCCGCGTTACCGCCTGCG